TTTCAAGGCAGGTCACTCCACAGAAACTGCCCTCCTTGCTGTCACTGAGGAACTGCACACTGCTAAAGCAGCCTCCCTCTCCTCTGTCATCATCCTTTTGGACCTGTCTGCTGCATTCGACACGGTGAATCATCAGATCCTCCTTTGCACTCTCCAAGAACTTGGAGTTTCAGGCTCTTTTCCCTCCTCACCTCATACCTCAAAGACCGCACCTACAGGGTTACTTGGAGAGGGTCCGATTCTGACCCTTGTCAATTAACTACAGGGGTCCCTCAGGGCTCTGTTCTTGGTCCCCTCCTCTTCTCCTTGTACACAAACTCGCTCGGATCAGTCATTAGCCCGCATGGTTTTTCATACCACTGCTACGCTGATGACACCCAATTAATTCTGTCCTTTCCCCGCTCAGAGACCCAGGTCGTCGCACGCATCTCTGCTTGTCTAGCTGACATCTCTCAGTGGATGTCTGATCATCACCTCAAGCTCAACCTTGACAAGACTGAACTGCTTTTCCTTCCGGGAAAAGATTGTCCCACTCTTGACCTAACAATCAACATCGGCACCTCTGTTGTTTCCCCGACTCAAACTGCAAGGAATCTGGGTGTGACCCTAGATAACAACCTGTCCTTCACTGCAAACATTGCTGCTACAACCCGCTGCTGCAGATACACGCTTTACAACATCAGGAGGATGCGTCCCCAGGTGACCCAGAAAGCGACGCAGGTTCTGGTCCAGGCTCTCGTCATCTCACGCCTAGACTACTGCAACTCCCTCCTGGCTGGACTACCTGCATGTGCCATCCGACCTCTGCAGCTCATCCAGAATGCAGCTGCTCGCCTGGTCTTCAACCTTCCTAAATTCTCCCACACCACGCCGCTCCTCCGCTCCCTTCACTGGCTTCCGATAACTGCTAGAATCCACTTCAAGACAATGGTACTTGCGTACCATGCTGCGAATGGATCTGGCCCTTCCTACATCCAGGACATGGTTAAACCGTACACCCCAGCACGTGCACTCCGCTCTGCATCAACCAAACGGCTCGCTGCACCCTCGCTGCGAAGGGGACCCAAGTTCCCATCAGCAAAAACACGTGGGTTTGCTATCCTGGCTCCAAAATGGTGGAATGAGCTCCCCATTGACATCAGGACAGCAGAAAGCTTACACACCTTCCGGCGCAGACTGAAAACTCATCTCTTTCGACTCCACTTCGAGCGATATAACTATTAACAAAGCACTTATATACTAATAAAGGGCTGGCTTATCTAAAGCCAGTTGAGTAGCACTTGAAATGTTTTTGCTCTATGAAGCCTGATGTACTTATATGATTCTGTTTTCCTCAAGTTTGTATTTTGTTGGTCGAACGCACTTATTGTAAGTCGCTTTGGATAAAAGCGTCAGCTAAATGCAATGTAATGTAATGTAATCTCCTTGGTCCAATGGGATTTTTCTATGTGGATTTGGGATTATTGGAGAAAATAATCTATGTCAAACAAACGTTTACGATATTTACACATTTATTTCAGCAGGATAATTTCCACATGTTAACACATGATTTCTCAAGTAAAAAGCATGACTTCATGTCACCACCGCTAATCTAAAGGCGGCTAATGTTGGGCTATAAAGGAATTACAGCACGGTAGTGGCAAACCGTGTCTATCACAACTGGACCTTCTGTAGACACACACACCCCCCGCCCCCCCCCCGCGCGGCATTATAATGTCCGTCTTTTCACAGAATTGTCGTCTTGAAAAGAGTAATCACAACAATTCCACAACAACTTCATCTTCACCTGTTGCACTTGTCATTTCAACGTTGACAACAATAAAACGGCATGAATTGCTTCGTCACATTCATCTAGATCAGGGGTCGGCAACCTTTTTGATATGAAGTGCCATTTTTTTAAAAATGTGTTTATCAGCGTGCCAACGATCGAGAATTATCAACGGGGGGGTGGGGGTTGAGGAGCTTGACGCTCGTGAACTATCGGCTGGAGGGCGGGGGGAGCCGTGTGTGGACCTGTCAACGAAACTTACATGATGCCGAATTTAACAACCACATTTAAATAATTGGTTTAAACGGCATAATAATAAGGACGATCGTCCGTTCTGTGATTCTCCAGAACACACATGTTATGATATTAGGGTCATGCAGAGTGAGATGAGAGCGGTAGATAGAGGGAAGAGCGATAGATAGCGTATAGATAGCAATAGATAGCGAGAGAGATAGAGTATAGATATTATATAGGCACTATTTTACACTCGATGTCTCCAAGACCTACCGAAGGTTAACATCAGTGATGTACATCGGCTGGTACAAGCGGCAGGCTCAGCCCCGAGGAGCAAAAGAGAAAAGGGGTTCAAGATGTAGCTACATATCCAGCTACGTCGACAATTATGAAGGTAAGTGACAAACAAAGCTGTAGTTACTGGCTAACTTTGACAAATTGACAGTCTTGATACAGTGTAAAGCGTTTTAATTATGGTCTATTACGTTTTTTTGGATAACATGAATGATATCCAATTCCCCACAGTTTCAAACAAATATCTACCTTCAGGGAGAGTGAGCATCAGGGCTAGCTGTTACAGGTCCATGAAAAAGCATGAAAAGCCTCACGATCTCAAAGTATGGAGGAAAATAAAAAGTGTTCATCGGTATCAGGTTCATGTTCTGGGGTTTTGATGTGGCTAGAGTAGGTAACCTGTGATTTAGGATTCAAATAAGCCCAGCTAGCTGACGTTTTGCAACTATGGTTGCAACAGATTACATAGTGACAATACATGTGCTCACATGGTAGCTAGCTATGTGTGTGTAGCATGAAGGGGCTACAGATTTATTTTCGTTTTGTAACCCTCTCGTGTAAAATGATAAATACATCAGCTAAACCCAAACTTAGCTTTCATCAAAGATTCTTAATGAGAGGTTGAAAACCGTCTCTGCTTTCATGGAAACCCCAGAAACTGGTTGTGACGGCTGCTGTTCTTTACTGAATGGTTAGTATAATCCATGTAGGGTCCAGTTATTTGTATGGGCCAGTGCTGGTTTTGTACCGTACATCTATGTTAAGCTGTTCAATGTTCTACTATTTTATGTAGTTATAATATAAGATAATACATTGAGAGAGTATTCCAGAGAGTATTACAGTATTCCAAACAGCAGAACTTCTGTGTATGTGATGTGACTGACAACCTGACATGGTTTAGCCTTTTCCCACACCTACTACTTGCCTGATCAGCCTGCTCTCAGCTTTCTCATTTATCTGTGTTGTATTGAAGCAGTGTCCTAAATGTAAAATGTCTGACATTTTGTTTTAAGAACTGTTCACCTGTGGAGATTGCAGTGGCAAAGTGTTCCTGTGTAGCTGGAACAGCACTCTGCAACCACAATGTTGCACTGCTGTTCCAGACCGCACACTACTCCACACTCAACCTGACTGCTGTCCCCCCTGTCCTCAGCTGCACTGAAACAGAGCAGTGATGGCACAAGCCAAGAACCATGGTAAGTACAGTATGTGTTCACAACCAATCCACGGTTTAATGAGTATTTCCTTTGTGCCAAGAGCTGATCTAGTATGTTGCATCAACGACCTTTTCAATTAATTTGACAATTCTTTTGTGTAATTAATAGGGTGTGAAACCAGGCAGAGTGAGTGACATGGTGTTCATTTCCACTAAGCCAAAGAAGTTTACAGTTGCTGACGGTGTAAGGTAATATCTATTGTCCTAAGTAATTGTATGTAGCCTGCTACAACTTTGTGATTGTTGTCTGAGTGTACAATTTTTCTTAAAGTCCTAATTATCATATAAACATGTTCAAAGGAGTACACGTTACAAGGCTGTGCGGGGGGAGCTGCCAGACCCAGATGTCCTCAAAGTCAGCGAGGCTACAAGGACTTCTCAGCAGACATCGCACCACGAAAAAAAAACGAATGGCTCACTACTCAACTCAACGACTAACACTCTTTCAGAGGATATGTTGGAAACACATTATATATCTTTTTTGCATCTACTTTCTGGATATTGTACATCTGTTCATCTGTTATATAAACTAGCATTACTTAAATATGCAGAGACTAATTGAAATGTTTAAATATGTATTTTCCCCCGATATAACATCAACCTATGTTTTGTAAAAGTTTATTAAATTAATCTGTAAAATGTTATCATATTGTGGATGTATTAAATGATGTATTTTCCTTTGTTATTTATGTGTGCGTTTGTTTTGAGGATATAATTCATTAGTACCTAAACATAGTATGGTATAACTGCTTTTTGTAATGAAATACACAATTGGTTTGGGACAAGAAATATTTTAATCGTTGTTGCCCAGGCTTGCCGAAATGAATGGAAACTTATCTCCCGATTATAACATTGTGTAACTTGCTTCTGTTAAATAGCGTCAAACTATGTGCAATATGTGCTTTATGTGCAATATATACTTTATATACATATGCCTTCTTTAATAACTGTAATATATATACCGGGCTGCTAAATCCTAAGAACTGCTACAGGATTTGATTTGTAGATTTGATTTGTTTTTTATCTGTATTTTTGAAAATTATGTAACTTTTTATCTTTTTTTTAGCATATTGTTTATTATATTATAACTTAGTACTTTTTTTAGCATATTATTATATTATAACTTAGTACTTTTTAACGCATGTAAGATATTCAACACTAAGCTGTCTTTGGCTCTTTCCTGCTGTAACTCTGCACATGTCCCCTCTGTGGGACTAATAAAGGTATTCTGATTCTGATAACGGGACGAATTTGTACAAAGGGGCACACAGCAATGTAGTGCCGACTTTCTTACACGCTGGAAGGCCAATCGCTTTTCTTTACCCCGAAATCCGCTCATTCTTGCTCTCGGTGTGACATAAACTGTCAAGCTGTCGAAACTCTGTACTCAAACCGGAAGTACTCAGCCGCACACCCAGCCGCCGGAAGTTGATAGACGTCATCTTGTGCACAGAGCCAATTCCCCAGAGTTTGCCCCTTGCTTGAGAAGGGTCTAGCTGCGGCCACGGCCAGTACACGATGGTACACGACACGCCCACCTGACACGACACTACGGTGGCTGAGAAGGGTCTAGCTACGGCCGCGAAAAGTTGTACTTCCAAATATGGTCAGAAGAGAGCACGCCCAACACGTGAGGTTTACAGACAACAAACAACATGGCGCACCGAGTACAGGTACTTAACGTATTGTGGTTTTAGATATAATTACATACTATTTAGGTTCTCGTTTGTTTGTCGATGTGGCTGTTTAGCGCAGTGTAATTGTGTTTATTTTGCTATATATATATATCTTAGCTTGACATGCTCGACGTTCAGTTAACTTAGCATTAATGCTAACTGAACATGCACTCTAATTTTTACAAGAATCTGATTTTATGTAAGTTTTAAATATTAATTGAAGGTGTCTTTCACATTTGAATGTTTTTTATTTAAAACATGTATTAGCTCCTATACTGTAGACATGTAAATATGTATAATTATTATTTTAAGTGTGGTTTAAAGTTAAATGGTAGTTATTGGGTAGAGCCAAGTAACCCAGGTGGATGCAATCAGGTAATTAGGACAGAGCCTCTGTTTTTAAATGGGGTTTATGCTGTAGGCCTGACATTTAAACTAGCTGAAGGGCTTTCTGTTCGAACCACAGTGAAATCTAGAGGTTGTTTTGTGCATTAAAGGGTTACCTTCTGAAAGTGAGGAAGTATGACCAGCTTTGTCCCATAGGATTATACAGGCCAGTCCATTGCTGCTTGTTTAAGGAGTTAACTATTTCCAATATTAAAGTCACTTAAATTGTATTCTATTTTATTCACCTATAGACAAACAACACAACACTCCGTGATGGAGCACGCCCAGAGCTCAACAAATTGGACTCGGACACCTTCCAGTGTCCATTTTGTGAAAGGACCGGGTCACACCCTGCTCTGATGGCTCATTTGCAGAGCCACCAGAGGTCGCTTGTGAAATATGGAGGTAAGTAAATCTATAATTCTATATGATCATTGTATACTTCATCACATTACATGTTACTTGTTAGATGTGTTTAATGCCTCACTCATTATATGCATATGTGCATGTAAAGCACTGTCAAAATAATGGTTGACTGTCTACAGATGCCCCTGGACACTGATGAGGACCACTCCTATAACAAGAGGCCTTACAGCTTCCTTCCTAAAGAGTCGGTTAGTGAATGGACACATTAAAGTGTACAACCCCTGATGCATGTGATTTTATAATATTACATATGACTTCTTTATACCATCTTGTCTTATCAGTGAGATGGAACTTTGTTCTCATGACCTCGCCAAGAACATGAGTGAGGAAGCGCACCAAAGGCTGAAGGACTTGTGAAAGATTCCGAGGAGTTTATTATTTATTCAATATTTTTTTAAGTTGACCAGCTCTGATTTTCCATTTGATGTTCTGTTCAATAAATGTTCATTGAGGAAAATGGTATCAGTGTCATATTTTATATACATCACAGTGAATGTTGAACTTGCCTGACCATATACTGCAGTTGAAAGTACACGATGAAACACTGGCTCAATCAATACAATTCCCACATGCTCTACCCCGGAACCTGCGGTCTTCAGACTCTGGCCCCCCGCACCAACCTGCGATCCTTTGGGGACAGAGCCTTCAGTATGGCAGCCCCCACTCTCTGGAACGCTCTCCATGCGGAGATCTGCAACATCCCCACGCTTGATGCCTTCAAAAGGGCCCTCAAGTCCCATCTGTCTGCCAAGGCCTTTGGCCCCAAATCTATTTGTTGTTTTGTCTGACTGCCTTTTGTTATGTTTGTTTCTACTCCTGTTCTTCTTTTTAAAGGGACCTTGGGTCTCATGAAAGGCGCTATATATATCCCATTATTAATACATCATTGGTAAGCATTTTTACAATATTCTGGCTTTCACTGTTCAAATGAGATGTCAACCATCAAAATGGGATAAGGGGTTCCAAGGGGTTCTCAAACGGATAGGTTATTAATTTATTTGCTTAAAACGCCTAATAGTTGCTTAAAACGGATAGGTTATTAATTTATTTGCCTAATAGTTGCTTAAAACGCCTAATAGTTGCTTAAAACGGATAGGTTATTAATTTATTTGCCTAATAGTTGCTTAAAACGCCTAATAGTTGCTTAAAACGGATAGGTTATTAATTTATTTGCCTAATAGTGGCTTAAAACGCCTAATAGTTGCTTAAAACGGATAGGTTATTAATTTAGTTGCTTAAAATGCTACAATAACATGCCATGTACGGTCTCCACCGTAGGCGGCGTAGTTGTCGTCAATTCGCTTTTCATCTGCCATGCCTCTCAGCCACCGTAGTGTCAGGTGGGCGTGTCGTGTACCGCCGTGTACTGGCCGCTGTCACTACCCGATCTGCAGCTCTGCCCGATCTGCTGTGCGCATGTGCGAGATGGTCCGCCATATTGGACAACGCCGGACGGCAACCCAAGTAGGACAAAATTGACATCTAGACCGTCTGAACCATTCGCAAGTTTTTACATGTGACAAAATATGCATTGCGCATTCGCGAGTTTTTACATGTGACAAACGGTGATTTGCAGAGTTTTTACATGTGACAAACGGTGATTTGCATTGCATCTGACAGAATGAAGACTTTTGCATCTGACAGAATGAAGACTTTTGTGTTTTATTACAGAATGAAGACTTTTGCATCTGACAGAATGAAGACTTTTGTGTTTTATTATTTGGGGTTAAGACAGAGCCTATCATACTGAATACATATTAGAGCAAATCTCTGTTCTCAGTCCTTTTCTTCAGACTATTATTGCTAAATTTGAAAGAGTCCTTACCAGCTTTGGAATTTTTTGCAATTCCATATATATAGATATATATATAGCACCTTCTGCCATATCGTCACCCTTTGCAGTGATTGACTTGAACACTGAGAATGTTTTTATGAACTTCAGACATTTTCATATACAAATGTGATCATACACCAACACACATTTTAGAGATATACATTTTTCACACACAACCATTTACTAAATTAAACCATATCCCCTCATAATACGAGCAAATAAGAAGGCACAGCAATACATATATTGTGTGTGTGTGTGTGTGTGTGTGTGTGTGTGGGTGGGGGGGGGGGGTGTTAAGATCCAGGTCCAATGGGGGCAGAGGGGAGAGGTGGGAGAGAGTTCAGCAACCTACAGGAAATGTCATTTGCATGTAATATTATTTATTCATATGGAATTATATAACTGGAGTTTGTTATCCTTTAATGTTGCTTGATTAATTAAAAAAACACAAACACAAACATAAAAAAGGGGTCATTCAGGAATACAATTATTATATTATAAATAATAATAAAATAATAAATTATATTATAATATTGAATTAAATATGTTTTTGTATAGTATTATTTCATTTAGAAAGGCAATACAAATACAATAGAATAAAAATACAATACAAAACTTGGGACAGAGCTAAGTAACTGATCAGTTAGTCACAACACAAAATAACAGGAGAATGAGAATTAATTACCTTTTACTGTAAAGTTCGATGACGCACGGCGCATTTGATCTCGCTCATTTTTAGAGAGGTCTGTGTGAAATTCACCTTCAGACATGTATTCTCTCAAATTGTTGTAAAACACTAAAGTCTTCATTCTGTCAGATACAATGCAAATCACCGTTTGTCACATGTAAAAACTCTGCAAATCACCGTTTGTCACATGTAAAAACTCTGCAAATCACCGTTTGTCACATGTAAAAACTCGCGAATGCGCAATGCATATTTTGTCACATGTAAAAACTTGCGAATGGTTCAGACGGTCTAGATGTCAATTTTGTCCTGCTTGGGTTGCCGTCCGGCGTTGTCCAATATGGCGGACCATCTCGCACATGCGCACAGCAGATCGGGCAGAGCTGCAGATCGGGTAGTGACGACACCGGTCTCTACCTGACCGGAGTCACGCTGTGTGTGTCCGTCGGGAAACAAGCTGTTAAAAAGTAGTTCCAGCAAACATCCACTGATAAACTACGATGGTAACAACCTCATGATGACCTCATATGTTTTTAACTTAGGATCATACCTGTGTTTACTCTAGAAAAAGGTAAAATTGTGCAGTTTTATTATAAAGTTGTGTATATTTACAGACCGTTGCAAAAACTAAGAAGCTTATAAACATCAGGTTTAAAACTAAAAGAGCTTTGAAACACAATGAAAGATGTTTGGAGTTTTATTTGAGTTATTAATTTAAACTTTTTGTCTAAGAGATGCTGATTTGAAACCGTTCCTGTTTCTGCCGGAGAGAGGGGAGGCCGTCCCAAAGCTTGCTGCTGTATTTACTCCCTCCATCTGACAGGAGGCAGGAGGGAGCCTCGTTGAGCTGCGAGTGTGGCTACAGACAGAGTTCACTCCGTCACGGAGGGGTAGGGTCGAGGGAGTGGTTTGGGATTGGGCCTTTGTGTGGATGGCAGAGCGACAGTGAGAGAACGTATGTATGTTTCTGGAAGTGAAACGAGGAAGCAGAAAAACAGAGGTCTGTGATGTATTTTGTGAAACAGAAGAACAGCTAAATAAATGCAACGGCCTCCCAAGAAGAGCTCGCCTCTCTCCAGTCATTGAAGCTAAAGTGGGTTATTGAACCTGAAGCTTGTTGCTTCTGCCCTCCTCGACTACGGTCTGGGAGCCGACAGGAAAGTTCAACACACAGATGGCCAGTCCGCCCCTTTGTAGCATATTATTTCGATGAGAGATGAGCAGATCGCCACTGGGCTTTCAACTAAAGACACAGCCACGCAAAAACTGCGGCATGTGTACAGCTCCTTATGGGTACTGCAATTAGTGAAATGCTTTCCTCTGTGGTGAAACGATCAGCACTGCACCACGGAGGAAAGCGGCAGAAAGTCGCCTGGAGTTAAAGAGAGCGGAGCTGAGTTGCGTGCATGGCTTCCTTCTGCAGGTAACGGGAAGACGTTGTTGTGTTGGGAGTCTCGTTCAGGATTCGAAAATAGAATTTAAATATTTTTGCACCCTTATTCCACTTATTCCTAGTGTGCCACTGGTTACGGTGCCGCGTGCCAATGCTGGCCAGGGGTTGCCGACCCCTGATCTAGATCCTCTGTCTCGAGCCAGTTAACTAGGGGGCCTTCTAGAGTACCCTGTAACCGAGGGAAACTCTGAAAGAACACGCCCATTGGCTACAATATGATTGGTTGATCAAACTGTCAGTCCAAACGTACACTCTCATTCAATACAACGGCCAGGGCATTCGATCAAGGATGTAGAATACCTTGGTTGAAGGATATTCTACCCAGAGACCCAGAACAAGATCTGATTGGTTGCTTTATTTTCTAACACAAAACCACTGAAATGCGTAGAGCATGGTCCGAGAAGGACAAACAAATCAACGTAACACTGTAATATTACAGTTCAACAACACAGATACCATTCTCATTTATTCATTTTATATACATTTTATTACATTTTATTTATATAATTAAATCGATTTTTTGTTTGTTTTATCTGACTGTTCCAGGGTATTCTCTGAATACCTTGAAGGCCCTGACGGTTCGCCACTGCAGCACGGTCACATGACTTCACGTCACCGCTGCTAAGCTAAAGCCGGCTAATGTTGAGCAATAAAGGAACTACAGCACGGTCACATGACTTCACGTCACCACCGCTAAGCTAAAGGCGGCTAATGTTGAGCAATAAAGGAACTACAGCACGGTCACATGACTTCACGTCACCACCGCTAAGCTAAAGGCGGCTAATGTTGGCCTATAAAGGAACTACAGCACGGTAACATGACTTCACGTCACCACCGCTAAGCTAAAGGCGGCTAAGGTTGGGCAATAAAGGAACTACAGCACGGTCACATGACTTCATGTCACCACCGCTAAGCTAAAGGCGGCTAATGTTGGGCTATAAAGGAACTACAGCACGGTCACATGACTTCACGTCACCACCGCTAAGCTAAAGGCGGCTAAGGTTGGGCAATAAAGGAACTACAGCACGGTCACATGACTTCATGTCACCACTGCTAAGCTAAAGGCGGCTAATGTTGGGCTATAAAGGAACTACAGAACGGTCACATGACTTCACGTCTCCACCGCTAAGCTAAAGGCGGCTAATGTTGGGCTATAAAGGAACTACAGTCTGTTCACAAGACTTCACGTCAACACCGCTAAGCTAAAGGCGGCTAATGTTGGGCTATAAAGGAACTACAGCACGGTCACATGACTTCACGTCACCACCGCTAAGCTAAAGGCGGCTTATGTTGGGCTATAAAGGAACTACAGCACGGTCACATGACTTCATGTCATCACCGCTAAGCTAAAGGCGGCTAATGTTGGGCTATAAAGCAGGGGTGGGGAACCTTTTTCCTCTCAAGGGCCATTTCAGTTTTTCCAACATCCTCCGAGGGCCGTACAAATGATTGACCTCTGCTTAAAAATACTAAAATCACAGCCCA